ATTGAAGCCCTCGTGCATCTGCCGGGGCTCAGGTGTCGCAGACAGTGGGCGAAATTCGCGAAATACCGGGCAAAATCCGAGGACTCCAGTTCCTCAAAGGTGTCAACTGGAATGTTGTCACTTGCAGAAGGTCAATAAAAGAGGGGTGTTCAGATGTATGCCATATAAGGATCCCTCATAAAAACTCCATTTCAACTTCAGCTGAAATTCATTAAAGAAGTTATTTAAGAAGCAAGGCCAACATCGAAGCCTTGCACTTTTTTTTCGCCATATAATTATCGACCAGGCAATTTGTTTTAGCCCTTTCCCCACCCACTTCTAATAACTTCAAAGTGGCAGGGCCAATTTTCGCTTATCGCTCGGTGCCTTTTTGTTGGCCGAAACCACAAGAATGCGCTGCAAATTGAGTTGCCGTTATGAGCGGGTTCCTGTTGCCAAGCCCCATTGTTCCACGGACTCGTGATGCCATTCGAGTGGGGGAATTCAAAGAGGGAGAGGGAAGGAGAGAAGGGGGAGAGCGGGATTGGGGCTCCCTGCAAATCAGTTGGGGGTTTCGGGGGCATTGTGCAAAGTCAGCGCACGACGCTGTTTTACAATTTAGCCAGGACATGACGGCTTTGTCTTCCCGCCACCGACGGGCATCTATTCCCACTAAAAGCCAAAACCAGGCTCCAAAACCCACAGCCCACCCACAAACAACAACTAACGTGGCTGAGCCTCCAAAAAGAGCTTCATTCGCCTTTAAGTGCATGGCCGCATTACGTATACGACCCGTTTGTCAGTCTAGCAATTACTAAAAACCCGGCATGGAATTTAATTTTTATCACCTTTAAATTTTATAAATCACTGAACAGCACAATGCACTGATCAATGATGACACAAAAGCGTTCTATAAAAAAAAGTAAAGTGTAATTTAATTGTCGTGGACGTGGCGAAAGCCAGCGATAATTGAATTAATTAAATAATCCACACCTTTTGCGTTTAAATTCAATTTGCAAAAATCAAGTTCGCTTCACTTTTTTTTCTACTGCTCGCGCTCTAGTAATTATGGCCATTAAGGACAGAAGTCAGCGGGTTTTTTACAGTTCAGGGTTTTGGCCTCAACTTGATCCTGGCAATAAGGCAAAACCATAGCGCAATTGTAGAGAGTTTTTTTTTAGAGATAAAGATAATTAAATTTATCATTTCCTGGTAGAGTTTCGGATTGACTTTTTGCGGGCTTTTGCACAAAGTTGCCACGGCGTTGTCGATATCAATATCGGAGGGCAACTCAACGCTCATCGGTTGTCAAGGGTCCACCTCCGGTTGTCCTGGCAAAAGTCATTTCATTTCAGTTCGCTTCATTTCAGCCGGCATTTTCTATCTCCCCCGAGGGTCATGCTCGCAATGGCGCTTCAATTTGACATCGACTTCGGCTTGGGGCATGTGGTATTTCGCGGGGGAAAACGGAAGAAAGGGGGAGGACGGGGAAAAGGAAAGGGAAAGGGGAGTTGGTTTTGGCCAAATTGAATATCATCGAGGTCGAGACATCGGTCCTCAAGTGCTCGCAAGTGGAGCGGCCAGGAGGAAGTGCTTGGAGAGGAGGAGAGGAGAAGGAGGAGTCTCCGCCAGCGAGTTAATTAAGTGTGTTTGCGTGTCAGTCCGTGTGTTTTTGTGCGGTGGCCACATATTTATAGACGCGGTCTGCTGCTTGATTAAACAGGCCCTCGACTCGCACTCGGCTTTGTGGATTTTCACTGTTTCTTTCTCCGTACACTGAGAGGAAATTGAGATGTGGAGCAATATTTATCTTTGCTTAAAAAAAATAAACCATTTGCTAACAATTTTTGATAACTAAACATAGTAATTTAAAAAAATAAAGTGATGTATTTAATTAGGAAAATCTATTAATTTTTAACTCCAAGTGAACTAAATATCTTAGTAAGAATGTACTACATCTTAATCGGATATTCAGTACCCCTTTTCTATTTAATATTTTGAAATTGATATAATTTTCTTTCTAATTTTGTTGGGATTTTTTCTTAGATAATATTTTCCCTGCCGATAAATAAAGCTGATATAATTATTTTCATGTTGTGCTTACTATTCATGGTAATATTAACTTTTCCTTAAAACATATAATAAGATATCATATGTCAGAAATATTTTTCTAAAAATACTTCCAGCCCGCAAGACGACTGAGCAAATTCAGAGATGAGCGAGAAAGCTCGAGTAACACTGCCTTTTGCTCGTTCAACTGACAAATTTCATTTGTATTGATTAGTCAGCCCAAGTTTGTGTGGGCTGCCGAGTTTGTGTTACATCGAATCGAATTGGATTGGCTTGCTTTGGATTGGTTTGGGCAGAGACCCATAGACGAAGCCCAAGTCGAACCATCTAACCACCTCGGGCTCCGAGTCAAAGTCTATTTTGCATTTCAAAGTGTCAGACGCCATTAGAATTGTGGGCGGAGAAAGGGGCGCTGCATGTCTATTAAATTCCAGCCGGCAGACAGTGCGTGAGAAAAGTGCTCGCCCGCCCGCCCGCGCACATTTCCGCATCAGACAAGGCGACAAGATTCCTATCACGCTGCGTATTATTGTTTTACTAATGTCGCTCGAAACTCGCCCCCCTTGGCTTTTCCCCTTTTTGGCCACCCGCCGTGAAGTTGGCTTTAAACGCACTCGCCACATTTGCATGGCCGTCGATTTAAGTTGCCACATTTTGACTTTCGCTAATTAAAATCGAAATCGAGCCGAGTTTGAGTGCCCCAGATAGATACGACTTGATCTTTGGCGCTGGCGCTTGAGAACAATTACCATTAATAATTAATGGCAATCAGAGGTTGAGTGACACGCGTCACTTCATCGATGGGGTGCGGTAATGTATTACGGCTTATGGCTTATGGCCAAGGCATCGGAATGTATCGGAAATTTGTTAGCGAATCGAGTCGAGGAAATAATGGTGTGCACTTAGTCGAGAGGGCAAAGCGGTCGAGGCTCAAATTCATGAACAATTTAGCATGTTTAAAGTGGTTAAAGTGACGTTTTTGTGTTTTTTGAGGTATACTTTATAAAAAAATAATAAACATTTGCAGACAACTTTTGATTAATTCAGATCGTGATGCTAATTAAGAGTATATAACCCCTGAAACGGTATAAAAATGAGAAAAAATGTTTCTATAGGTTTAATGAATAGAATAACTCCCCATAAATCTATTTGAGTTCGGCCACCTTTAGGGCAAGTGATTGCTTCGCTGCGGCCATTCATATCGCACCTTTAATTAAGGCCGAAATGCAATCTAAACGCGGCTTAGTGTAAGCCATCGCCTAATTGTCAGTTATGCCAATTGTCATTCGTGGAGCCCACTTGCCGAGTCATTATGTCGTGCGATTTCTGCTCGAGATCTGCATTCCCCATTCCCCTCCGCAATTTCCCCGTCCCGAATCGCCAATCCGAACCGCATTTCCATTTCCATGCCGAATTCAAATCAGATTCAGTTGTCAAACAGTCGGAGCAGTCAATGCAAATTATGTTTACATATGCAAAACGAGTTTGTCATATACGCAGGCACTCTTCACATATAATTACACACATGCCTGGTCAGTGCACAGTGCATGTTAAGTCGAGTGTAAGCCCCTCGAATTTACGCTGTTCCGGTAAATTATTTAACAATCGAGCCGCGCCGCGCCGCGCCCACTTCTCCGAATCCGAATGGGCTCTTTAAAGGAGTGCATATGATTGTTGAAATATATTTCCCGCTGACCCGAAAAAAAACGCAAAACACAAACGGCGGGCGTCACACACAGATTTGATTTTGCACTTACATATATGGACAAATTTTACATACAGCTGTGTGAAAATCAAAAGTGGCGACAAAGAGATTCAAATAACCTTTTTAAGAAAGATTTGTAATACCTCAATTTTGTATAATGATTAGAAACTTATTATCTGGATGGAATGCAGCAGGAGGACTTAAAAAATGAGTTCTTAAATTGCAATTTTGTACAATGATTATAATTTTTAATATTATTTATAATTTTTTTGCTTAGTGGTTAATACAAATTTAGTATTGTCAAAAATTTGCAATCATTTCTATTAAAGGAGAAGATATTATTTAAACATTTTTTATAACCCTTACTACGTGTTGGTTTTTTGACTACTTCTAAAGATATTCCCCTTTAATAAAATGTCAATGATATTTGTTTCCTGATTGTGGTATGGCAGAAATATAATACCTGTTACACAGAAAAAATCATTTTTGTTTAGGGGTTAATTTTTAATTGTATATTATTAATTAGCTTATAGATTAACCATGCTGAGAAGGATACTGTCTTTAAAACTCCATTTGTTTATATTTAAGTTGACAACTGTGCAAGTGTCAACAAATCGTAACAAAAATATTTATTTGGCTTTCCACCTTTTTCCGTTTATAGGTTGTAAGTTGTTCCACTTATAATCACAGGCAAAACACCAATCGATCTGCATTAAATTATAATATGTTTTCGTTTTAGTCGATACTTTTGTTGGCCTGTCCGAAAACATGCAAATATATTATGGCACTACTCGCTATTTTTCCGGACAATGCTGTTGTCGATTGTGTTGCAATTCCTGTGTGAGAGTTTGGTTAGCGTGCATCTGAAATGCAGTTGAATATTTTTGGCAACATATCTAATGGAACCGAACAAAAAGAGTGGAAATACGAGTATGTGTGGAAATAAATTCTTGCTGTCCTGCGGTGGCCACATTTAGGAGACTATTCTATTGGGTTTGGTGGTGGTGGGTGGTTCAAGCACACAACGAGCGACAGAGATATATATATATATATAGATATTTTTATATATAGAGAGAGAGAGAGAGAGAGGGGTAGAGAGCAGCAGGCGGGGTGGTGGGTGGCTTCTTTTTTTTCGGGTGGTTTCTGGGTGGTGGGAGTATTTTATGGAGGGACACGCGCGAGCACAGACTAAAGTTTCGAGGGGGGAGACGGAAGAAAAGGGGGCGTAAAAGTTGGCAATACTTACGCGTATTATCTTCTGATCACGTATTATCTTGCGTATGCAGTTGACGATGAATGTAATGACCATTCCGCCGAGTATCAGGCCAAACACAACAATGATGATTTTCACATGCTCCGACGTGTCAGCCGCCTCGCCCTGCAAATGCAAAAAGTGGATTCGAAGTCGTCGATTTAATTGCCATTTTAATTGCATTATCGAATTACCAAGCCCAGAAGGAGAAGGCTCGGATCAAAATAATCAATGTGAAGGCCGCACTTTCCTTTCACCACCTAATTGGCTGTTCATGGAACGCTTCCAATTGCCACTCTAATGACTATTGGCTGTTGCAGAAAGTATCTGATGTGAAATCAGCTCAGGGGTTTCATCTCGATTAGATTTCCGTCTTTCAGCTTTGGATGATATTAAGTTTACCCAGAGCCTAGCCTTTATTCTACCATTATACAATTTTCTAACTACAATATATGATATCAACATCCCAAACATATCAAATTATAATGTACAAATAATGTTTTGTAATTTAAACTAATTGACAATTTATAAATTTATGCTTTTCAAACATTTCTCTTGTTTTTACCATAAGTTATTAGCTATTTATACAACCCAGTTTGCAAGAGCACATGTGTCTTCTATTTTTTTACAACTTTTTCCCGATTTTTATGTTGAATTTCAGCACCCTTAGAATAACATTCTGTCAGCATAAATTATACATACATGGCCAGTAAACATAGCATATATTTTGGGCCGATTTTAACGTCGGCCAATTAAATAAACATAACTTGTGCATGCGCTTGATTGAGCATTTGATTGAGGCCTGCCTCCACACATACACACATACATTTAATGTTGTTTGAGCAAATTAGAAACCATAAACCGAAACCAGCCAATTGCGTATCGAAAAACTAAAAATTTCAATCCCCGCCAAAGCCAATGGCTTCCAATGGGCCTCAATCGTAATTACATATAAAATTACGAATAATTATGGAATCATTTCGTGGAACCAAATATCAATTCGCTTTAATTGGGCAAGATATTGAATGGCCTGCGAATACATATATGCAATATGCCAATGTGGTGCGAAAATTAAATGCGGACTTTTAGCCAAAATTAAATGATAAAATTGCATGAACGTGTTTGTTTTGGCCAGGGGTATTTTAATGGTTAGCGGAAGGGTTTATCCAAGAGCGATTGTTTTAGCGGAGTGTTTTTGTTGATATTCTGGTTACGAAATTATGTTGTTTAACAATATTGTTATGCTTCCCTTCCGACTTAAATTTAATGTTGCCTTACAGTGACTTTAAAGTTTAAAAGGAAAAAAAAGGAAAACAAAAGATATGCAACAAAATTACATTTTCAATAACTAGAAGTAGGTACAAATATATTAAGTATATATTGTCTTGTTATAAATGCGATATGAAGTTTTTATAATTGATTTACCTTTAACTTTAAATGTGCAGTAAAATAAAATGTCTGAAAATTTCTATTAAAATCTGAATCTTTTTATGATTTAGAAGTTTTTTTTTTTGTAATTCGTAACTTCCACAATTCCGATCTCAAACTGGTATAAAAATCAATGGTAAATCGTTAAAATATCGTTGATCTGTGACATATTTTCGAACCTTGTGATGTTCACCCTAGCTGCTTAAAATATATTTTAAAGCGTGTCGTGTGCTCAATTACGCGTGCTTTTCTAACTGCACGTAATTCCTGCTGAATGCCACAAGTAGAGATTTCCCCCTCGTTGCTTTCTTTATTTTATGCTTTTTTTTACAAGCGATTTACAACCTCATTTGGGACCTTGGCACTAGTGGCAAGTATAAAGTAAAAAGTGGAAAGTGGAAAGTGGCAAGTAGAAAGTGGCTTTTGGGGGAGCTGCATGAATCATTCCCTGTGATGTCGGTGGTGCGAGCAACTTGAGCCGACTGACTTTATCAAATCTAATGATCTAATGCGCTGATGTTCAACTTCTGCGCTGCTGTGTGAAGCCCTGCAAATAACTGTTATTTACGGCTAACGAACAGGCTCCGCAAAAGAACAACAACAATCAAAACAACAACAACAACAAGAACAACAACATCACGGCCTTCCTGTAACACAAACCTCAAACTTTGCCAAACAAAACTTATTTGACCAACTTTGTTTGTGTGTGCTTGTGCCGGTGAAAGCATGTGTGTGTGTGAGTGTGTTCGTGAGTGTGTGTGCGTTTGTACGTGAGTGTTTTTGGGTGTTGCCATCATCGGCGTGTCGAGCATACTTATAATGAGCAGTGTGGCTGTGCAGGGGTGCAGGGGTCACGAGGTCAGGGGGTGTCGGTTTGAAGTCGGCCAAACGAGCTGGCCTATAATTAGATGCACGTACAAACGGCCCAGTTTTGTGTGCGAATGCACTGCGAGAAAACAATACATTCATCATCAAATAACAAAAGAAGAAACTTCAGATATATTCAGATAAAAGAAATTCATTTAAATATAAAGACTTTTATATAAGAAGAATTAATTGGTAAAACTTTTAGACATATTTAAATCCGAAAAATATTTTTAAAAAATTTACTTCGTTATAAAAGACTTTGTTTTTAACATTTAAAGTCAGTGAAAGTACTCATTAATTCAATGGCTTGGTTCAGTAGTTAAGCAATTATATATCTTGTTTAAACATAGATTTTTAATACTATCCTAAATCAAATAAATAATTAAGAAAAGTTATTAATATTAGTTTCCGAGAATCTACTTTTGCTATAGTTTTGTTATTTGTGTACATTTTCTTTACTTGCATTTTGAATCCTTGAGATGTTTTTGTATTTCATTTAATATTAAATTACCTGGATAAAAACAATATCTTGCGGGCATTTAAGCCGCAGCATTTAAGTTTTTGTTCAATAATCTGGCGATGTAATCTAAGCAAGGCATTGTTTAAGCACCAAACTTATATTTAAAGCCTTGAAATCCCCGAAAGACCTAAATATTTTAATTCGGTTGTAGAGGCGAGACACTTACCGTACAGTTCTCCTCGTCCCATCGAAATTTACAATTGTCTTGGCCATTACATCTCAGATTGCTTGCTATGCATGTCGAGTCCGCGCAATCGTACTCTTCTTCGTTACACTCTCCTAAAAAACGAGACGGGGACAGTTTGGAAGTTAGGGAAAGTTTCAAAAAATTTGGCACAAAATGGCTGTTAAAGTAAGAGGACGAGAAAAGCGGATAAAATGGCTAAAGCGCCAATCAAAGCGCAAATCGCACAGTGGAATGGACAATCGAGTTCGATTGAAAGTGCTTTCCACTGGAGATGAGTGGAAAACGGTTGCATACAATTTTTATTTTGTCATTCGAACTCCATTCAGCAGACAGTTCAATATGGTTTTTATTGACGCGGCGTGTCGATTGAATTCGGGAGTAATATTTTGTTGGCCATCGAAAGTAATTTCTTAATATTGCCGCACTATAAAATGCAAATTGTTTTGAGTGCTTTTATTTATTAAATTCTTAATTGTCTTGTAACTGATATTTCGTTTAAGTTTATGAACAATTTATTTGGGCAATGGATTGGATAACATTTTTCATCCAGAGAAGAACTTAAAATTTTCGCTTATTTTTTCCTAAACATAATTTAAATGCCTGCCATTAAATATGCTGTTTCTGCTTTGAATTCACTTTGAACAGCCGTTTGAATTTTATTTTATTCGCAATTGAATTTTGCGGGCATAGAGAAGCGAATTCGATTCAACATTAAATTGAATGCCAATTCAATTTGACTTAAAGCCTCGATCAATTGTGAGCTTTAAATTGATGGACTTTCCACAGTGCAGCCATTGAAAGGCGACGATGGGCGAGACCACAAAGCAAATGCACGTAATCTCCGACATAAATCGCTCAACCAACAACAATAATTGCCGATGCTGGCAGTCGAAGGAGGCGGACGATTCCCAAGAAGGAGGAGAAGGCGGCGGAGGAGGAGGAGGATGAGGATGAGGAGGAGTTGCTGGAGCAGAAGGAGCTGGAGCTGAGGCTGAAGCTGTCGAAGGTCCTGGCGATTCGGAAGGGGAATCAGGACTTGGGCTGCCTAAAAGTAAACAATGCTGGCCCGGGGACAAAGGACAATCGTTGAATGACAAAAGAGTGCTTAGCCTTTTGCCCCTGGCAACTGGCGGCAATCACGCAGGACCTCCGCCTCCTGTTTTTCCTTCAGTCGCTCAGACATCCAGACATTTCGACAGACAGACAGATGGATAGGATATGGTGGCCTCGTGGAGATAGTTGGTTAGACAAGAGACTCCTTCTCCTTCTGCCTTTCTACCAACTGCCAAATGGGCAGCCAAAAAAGGAGGAAAGGCAATTGGGGAGAGGCGGTTCCTCGACGGGATTTGGAGCCAGCTTAGCACCGGATTGCCATTGCCCCGAGGATTTTGGGCATGCCTTTGTACTTTGCGCCCCGGCCATTTGTTGCCAATTCGAGGGATTTGCCACCGCCATCAAAGGGGCCATCAACTCGACTTGGAATCGGAACCAGAATCGCAATAGGAATCAAAATCAAAATCACAATCACAATCCGGAACGGAACGGAACGGAGCAAGAGTTGGACTTACCATTGGTGCTTTGCTCTCGGAAAGCCGTGAACAGTATGCTGAACGTCGAGTTAATCGCGATTTGATCTGCGTAGTAACGCAAGTGCAGAATGTTTGAGTCCGCCGTAATACTCTCGCCCGCCGAACCGCAAAAGTTCTTAACCCTGCAAGGAAAGCATGGATAAATCGGTTGGTTAATCAACCCAAACAAGGTTAACTGAAAAAGAAAGCAAAAAGAGAACCTAAACAAAAAATCAAAGACAATAAACAAACATATACAACTTCCAAATTAAACGTGAGTTAAAATTCTTATCGAAAGCAGAAAACTATAACAAATCATAATAGCATTTCCGTAACATTAGATAACGATCTGCTTAATTAATTATCAACTGATTGGAATGAAATTTAAGCACATTCTGTTACTTTGCCAAAATATTTTGCCACAAAATGAAGCCCTAACAAGCAGTCTTCGCTTCAGGGGCAATATATCAGCCATTCGTTAAATATTTGGCCATATCGATATAGCACGCACATAATCGATAAATAAATAATTTATAATGTGGCTTAAATGATGACGTTCACTGAATACTGTATTTATGTTCATTTGGCCTGTCTGTGGCTCCGGGTATTTTCTTAACGGCATTTCAACGCATTATTCCTCGGCTGGCATTTCCCTTGAAAATCTTGATGCTTCAAGAGTTTGAGAATTGTGTGTGGACGTGGACCGACCGCCCATTGTGTGCGATAAATTGTAACGAAAAATGAATTTAAATGAAAGCGACAAAGGCATCAAATCAATGGCTCGAAAGACAGGCGAAGGCGTCCCGGCCACCGGCACAAAATTTTCCGCTTTCCATTTGCCATTTTTGCAAGAGCTGAAAACACGCCAGTCAATCAATTTGAGTGTTGTCCCAAGCAGCGGCAACAAGTGGAAATGTATTGGCGCGTTAAAAAGCGGATGTCAATGTGTGTCGAAGATGCCGTGGCGAGTCCTTCAGTCCTTTAGTCTTTCAGTCTCTCAGTCAGTCAGCCAGTCAGCCAGTGAGTCAGTGAGTCAGTCAATCAGTCAGCTGAACAGGAGATGGCGAAACACTCGTTCTCGCGGCAAAAAGGACGTGGAACGCGGAGATTGGTTGTTCGAGTCAAAGGCGACGGCACTTCCGCTCGCGTACAATTTACTTTTGGCCGGTAATAAATTGAAAATTTGCCTTGGCCCGCGTCCTGGGCTTTGATCTCGCCTTTTCGGCAATGCGGAAATTGGTTTGCGGCATGCCACCAACACACTGTACCCGCCACCGAGTGCCACCGAGTGCCACCGACTGCATTCTACAGTGGCAATGGCTGTGCGCAATTTTGTCAGTGGCACCGAGCTTCACGAAATGTGATTAAGCCGCGTTTCGATGGGTCTCTCTCACCTCAGCGGCATCACCGTCTGTTCGGGAAAAATGTCCAGAAAGTTCGTATCGCAGTCGTTCGGCTTGCTCAGCTTGAAGTCCAGAAACTTGAGAAAAATCTGTGGGAAGAACAAAGAGCAAACAAAGTAAATGTATTTTGTAAACGTATTTTAAAGTGGTTTCTATTTGGTCCGAACTAAAAGTTACCAGAAACAGTTTATAGTTAATTGCATATTCTTATATTTAAGATAATATTTACAAAATAATTTTAATTTACTGTCATATTTTAATTTAGTCAACAAAATAACAAAATATTCTTTTAATGGACTGCTATCAAAAATATAAGCGCCAATTTGTAAAATTATTTTAAGCATTTTGAATGAAGAAATAAATAATATTTTTAAGTATATGTTTCTTAAATAACAGTGTCAATTTAAATTCATTAATTGGCACGCAAGCTTTTTTGACAAAATATAATATAGTTATAAAAAAATATTTAGTTTTAATGTTGATTCCCATTTTTAAATAAAATATAATAAAAATATAATTTTAATAATAATATTCTTTGATAAAAAGGGTTATTTTCTGCAATTAAAACGATACGTAGACTCGTATTTTTCGATATGACAATAAATTATTTTGATTAAGGTATACTTTTACATATTAAAATCCTCTCAGAAACTGATTGTTGACTTTTTTAAGCATTTTACGATGTGCTGTCCACTCATTTTTTTACTTGTTATTTATTAATTTTTATGTACTATTTTTGTTTTGCTTCCTGTTATCAATTACCTTCCACTTCTCCTGGACCTGGATGCGCCAGATGCAGTCGAGGGGGATTTTGTTGCGGGTGACCTGGTCCCAGATTTCCGGCGGCACTTCCGATGAGTTGATGAAGCCCTCGAAGCCCGTCTTCTCGATGGTGCAGTTGAGATCGGTGCTGGGCGCCTCCCTGCTCCTGTCCAGAAACTCGTACACCGCACTAAAGCCGGTGTACTCGATGGTCTCGTCGGAGTGGAAGTGCAGCCACAGGTAGCGCTCCTTGGAGGTCAGCTCCGGCGGGAAGTCGGTGCCGCAGTACTTGCCGAGTTCCTTGGAGAAGCCGTACTGGCCATCCCGGATCTGCAACGATTCCACTCGTTAGTTCCTCCGGAATTCCCCCGCAATTTGTTAAAGGGGAGGAATAACCTCCCCCCATGAAAAAGCCGAGAGCTTGTCTTGGCCTAAACCGCTTTGGCTGGGCTGCATTCAAATCAGGCTTACGACTTGCAGCAGAGACAACATTCAATTAAAACTTGCCAATTTTCGGGCGCAAAAAAGGCAGTTAGAGCAGCAAAAGCAAAAGCAAAAGCAAGAGCAACAGAAATGTGCGAAGGAACAAGGAAAAGTCGTAAAGGAAACAAATCGAAAACTTTGCAAGACCGAGAAAAGCCGGCCAACTAAGCAAGTTTTTGTTTCGCACTCCTTTTTTTTGTTGCCCTGGCTTCTTCGGCTTGCAAGCAAGTTTGTCTTTTTATGCGCTGACCCTTTCAAGTTATGTCGGGTGTTGTTACACAGCGAGAAAATACAGCTCTAGAGAACAAAAAATAAATTTAATAATTTAAGATAGTATTCTTTAAAAACCAAAGCAAGAAAACAATATGATTCCTTAGGTAATCCTACGAACTATTACAAATTTGAACCTCAATTTAATTTAATATGTATTTGCATTTCATTTATTATTCTCCAGCGCAAGCTAAATGATGTCTCTGTGCATTTGGTAGCTACCATTACTTACCTCGAGAAAATCAAATTTGCAGTCTTCCTTGGCCTCGATATTAAACGAGTTGCGAAAGTCCAGGCGTATGATTTGTCCCTTTGGCGCTGTAATTAGATGCCAGCGTCCGCAGGACACAAAGTTGCAGGCAGCGAGAAAGAGAAAGAGAAAGAGAACAGGACAAAGACAACACGTTAGCCGGAAAGTATATATATTCCATCATTCCCTGGTTTCCATGGCACTTGACCAGGCTTTAACGCCCACTCTTGCGGCCAGGTGGCCTCATCTTCCCGATCCCCCGGCTTACTTTAAGTCAAATAGCCCCGAGTCGAGAAACTGATTAACAACAGCTCACCTCAGCGCCTCCGACTTTCAAAGGATGATATCGCCCGTTATACTTTGGCTCCCCGAAACTTAAATACCCTTAAAACAGATGCATTTTAAACGAAATAATAATGATAAACTTTATAAACTAATATATAATATTTGATCCCTTTTACAAGTTTATTAAGCCCCCCTGGATAATTTTTAAACCAAATGGCTTAAACAATTCATTTTATATTTTGTAGCACATTCGAAAATAAAGTATTTGTTGATATTGATTCAATCTGTTTGCCATTGCCATCTTTTATTTTTTTCACCCAAATACCATGATATATTCTCCTCATATTATTGCCAAATAAATAACCTTTTTGCAAAGACCTGTTGAGCGTTTAAAATTCCACCATAAATTCGCAGTAAAATGGAATTTATGTAAACTTCACTCGTTCGAATAATCAGGGCTTATTTAATACCAGTAACACCTTTTAAAATTCACTCGAGTGAATTTAACACGCACAAATTGGCCCATAATTTGGTTACCTAAACATCCGGCGGGCTAATAAAAATATTTGTGAAAATTTCCGCATCTCAATGATCCTGCCATAAATAGACCCTTTTGGCACAAAGTAAGGCCGACATTTTGGGCATTCGGGCCGTGGCAAAGTGAAAAGAGTAAGGGAAAGAGAACCCAATCTCGTATCTATGGCCAAAATGAAAGCGTCTGGGGACTCATTTAGTGGCCGCATAAAAGGAAGAAGGCATCAAGATGCTGGACACACCCACACTCACTCACTCACTAACTCGCTCGCTCGTTCAGTCCTTCAATCGTTCACTCATTCACTCGTTCACCCGCTCACTTCTTCACCCACTCATTCACTCATTCAGTCATTCATTCAGTCATTCATTCATTCATTTATTCTTTCACACTCGCATTGCGGGCCATACATATTCAGGCGGCGAATCCTTGGCATGAATCAATGGCGATGGGCTGGCAGTGGCATTTGAAAATACATTTCCCCCAGCTTTGCTCAAATGGAACCTTTGTGGCCAATGTGGCATAACAACACACCCACACACACACTACCACACACACACACGAACAACAGCAATTGCCGGGGCTTTGACACCCACACATTCACACACCCACATTACATAATGGAGATGGACAAGTAATGAAAGTTTGAATCGCAGGCGGACGGAGAAAGAGCGCTTGAAAGGGCATAGAATACCACATTGATTGGCCTTGAAAAAAGCTCAGTTTTTGCCACATACACACATGGCCTCGTACATGGAGTATTATCAAATTACAAAGTCCCCCGGCAATCGAGAATTGTCGAGCTGCACATGCAGCTTCCTTCCCCGGAGTAAAAATCTAATTCGCAATCCCGTCTGGCAAATCTGTCCAATTGATGACCCTCATAACGTCTGCACAAAAAAGGGTTCCTGTTAATTACACTTTGGGCAACATTTTTGGTGTAATTGAGATTTGAGTTCCCCTTTCTCAGGTGATTAATTTTTAGAAACCTTACGTTTTATGCAGGATGCAGTGTGAGTAAAACTGATGTATTCACAGACAAAAGAGCAACGAAAATTGGCTAAACCAAATTGTAATTGGAGTATCCCTCCTTACAATATTTTTCAAGAAAATCTGAAGAATAATTTTGCAGAAAAGAATAACTGGAATAAAGGCAGAGGTATCAGTATCAAAAAAATCAACTCAGAATCATTATTATATTACATGTTTCCATTTTCTTTTTATTGTTAAAAATTAAAAAAAAAAATTGCCTTCTGTATATATTATTTCTAGTGAAATAACTGTAATTTTGGTTTCCTTTTTTATCAATCCGGAAATTGGCTTCTGAAATTGCGTATACGCCCTGGTGGCTGATTGCATAGCTATTAAGTTGTTCATGCTTTTGATGGAAACCAAAGCTATAAAGCGATTGCCCTGATATTATTAATTTATCTGCTGGTTGTTGTGAGGAAATACCAAATATAACAAACTCAAACTTTAATGATTTAATTGATTTTATCTTATGAAAAATGTTTAACACTCGTAAATGGGAATTTGGTTATTAAAATAGACAAATGTTGCTTATATTTCTTGCCTCTGCATATACTTTTTCTAGTCAAGCTACTATATTTTTATTTTCCTTTTTTATCAATCCGGAAATTGGCCTTTGAAATTACGTATACGCCCTGGTGGCTGATTGCATAGCTATTAATTTGTCCATGATTTTTGATGGAGACCAAAGCTATAAAGCGATTGCCTTGTTTTTATTTATTTCGCTGCCAGTTGAATTTCCAAAAATGAAGTACAAAAAACTTGGGATTTGCGCTAAAATACTTTTCCTGATTAAATTGTGCCATTTGGTTTAGTTCGATTTAGGTCGTGTAATGCGTATACGCCACAGTGGCTTGCTGCACTGGCAAATAACTTTTATTGTACATAGTTATAAAGCGAAGTGCATGGGAATATAAGCTCTATATAATACCGACCTACCGCAATCCGCACTAGAAACATAAAAAGAAAGAAACTCCGGCTGCCGACTCCGTTTCTCTGTTGTTTTCGAAATAACTTTGAACTTTCGAGTCCCGGAGACCGCAGGAGTCTTATGGCCGCAATTCCTTACGGCATTTGTGTGCCCTGCGGGACGCCCATCTTGGCCATAAAGCGAACCTCAGCTGGCTGCTTTTGTTGGCCCGCTTAGTCCAACATTAACAGGGAGTCTTGTCTGGCGGCTCGTATACACATTGATATGCAAATAAGCCGATGCTCTCCTCCCCTTCTCCATTCCCCCTCCCAAGTACTCATACTCGTACTCGAATTCGTACTCATTCCCGTACTCGTAATGCTAAGCACACATCCATATGTGATTTGGAATGGGGCAAGGGCTTGCATATGCTGACATATTCGTTGATGCCACAGATTCACAGACACACAGATACATATGCATATATATATACATGGTACAGATACATATATACAAATACAGATACTGGGACCGCTGATGCGTGCTTATGGAAAGTCAATCATTCGCTTTCAGGTTTTATCTGTCAGCTCTTGACTTCTGCAGTGACATTATTTTGTCTTAACTGACAAATGATTTGGCCTCGAAGCGACTTTAGATAAGCATTGGAGTTGACTGAGAGTTTACCCTGCTTGCCCCTGCTTTCCCCGGTTTCCCTGCTTTTCCAGCTCTCCCAGTTTCCCGCCCGAGTTTCTGCGGCGATGGCGGAGGCAGTGAAGCGAGTGTAGCTCAAATATGATGACAACCCGACCCGACTCGACTCGACTCCAGTCGACTCGACCTACACACACACACACACACACAAACACACACACACACTAGTAAATACAATCCCCAATCGAGGGATCGTATTAGGGGAGCCGGGGGAAATGGGATTGGAATACGGGGAGCCAACGCGCTAACGCTTTTAAATGGGCCACACAAAACGGCCCTGCGCCATGTGGAATCTGTGTGGAGCATCTTACGCATCAGCGCCATCTAATGCCTCCGGTTCACTGGTTCACTCCCGTTCCTTGTTCCCTCCTCCCTTTTCCCCTTTCCAATCCCTTTCCAATCCCTTTCCCTTTACCCCAACTGAATGACTGAATGACTGAATGACTGTCTGACTGACTGACTGACTGACTCACTGACTGACTGACATCTGGTAATGTCAACAGCAGTGGCAGCCAAGACTTGGCCAAAGACTTTGCAATTATTTGCAGTAGCTCGCTCGTCGCCAAGTGCTTGCCATATAAACTTTTACGAGGCCTGCACTCCACTCCACCTACACGCTAAGAAAAACATGGCTCACACACTCTAAAGAAGTCCACACAAGCTCGACAAGTAAACAAAAACTTAAGAAGGAACACGGGTGTAAATGGCATGTTTTGTTGGCAAACAAGAATTTAAATACGAAACTAATTAAGCTATCATGTAGAAAAAATAAATCCTAAATTGTAATACTTTTTATCTTCCATACATTTGCTGTCACTTTTATTTACAAGTGTTCTGTCTTTTTAACCCAATTGTATAATAATATGAAATCAGTTAAAATGCGGTTTAAATTTATTTATGTTGTATTTTCGTTATTGCTTTTGTTTCTCTCAGTGCACCCCGCACTCTCACACTCGCTAACAGGAAGTCGGCTGCCAATTGGCTTCCATCAAAGTTCGTATTTGTCTTTGTAACTGTGGAATACAGATAGTGCCACCGATACTGCTGGATTCTGTTAGACTGATGGTTAATTGCTTAGCCGTAGATAATCCGCAGATGCGATGTCATGAATTCAACCTGAAATTAGTCGGGGCTAAATTCTTCTTTATACCTCGTACATATTCATTAAGATGCATTGGTTTTGATTTTACTAGTGATTACCTCAAGACGCCTATAAATAAAGAATGACCTGGTCGTGAATAAATTGGTTTGGGGGAAGGACTCGCCTTCCATCTGGAAAAAAATTGACTAACAGCAAAAGTCTTTAGATATCCTAAGATTCGCACAATATTATTATTCGCCTAATAAAATTTCGAGATATTAAAAAAACATAATTCCGATGTATATTCAAGAAACAACAATATTTAAAACTATATAAGGATGAAAAGCCAACTGAATATTCCACTTCTTATTTTGCACATTGTATCATAAAATTGTTGTTTCCAGAATAAGGTACAATAACATTGTCGAGTACAATCCCAAATATTCCATATATGTGCAGTTCAAAAGATCAAAGCTTCTTCTCTTATTTTTACTCAAAATGATCCTTAGATATTCTCCACACCCCCTCCTATCCGAAGAGGACTCACCTGTTATCACCCTGGTGCAGTTGATGTTCTTCGGATAGAGGTTGGGGTAGTTGGGGCTGTAGAGCTCGTTCTTGGTGGGATTCCCCTCGACGAAGAGCCGGCAGCGGTCCACCTGGTCCTCCTCCGCCTGCCGCTCGCTGCGTCCCGCTCTCGGCGGCCGGGAAATGGTCATCGTGTGCCGCTCCTCCTCCCAATAGCCCTCCGTTTCCCCCTCGGCCACATCCTCCTCCCGAAAGGGACTGGAAAATCCTTGGGCAGGTGGCGTGGCACTGGTTAAGTTCGATGGGCGGTCAGCGGGCGATATCGTCAGCGAATCTTCGGTTGAAGTCGAGCGATTTGCGATCAACTCACTGCCGGCAGAAGCTGCAAGGAAATGAAAGGGAAATGGAAAACATCTCGTGAGTATAGTATGCAGTTTGAGTGGCTATATATACGGCATTAACTTCTATATGCGCGCACAGTCGTTTTTGGGCGGGCGCATTACATTTTAGTATGATAATGATAATCATGAGCATTAAAATTTATGCGGCGGGTGGACTTGTTTTTTTTTATTATAATAATGCGCATAACTTTTCGGGGGCAAAGGAAAAAACTAAAAACGTGGAAAAGCACAACAACGGAGCACAGGTAAAGTATATATTTATGAGAGCGAATATATGCCGGTTCGTTGTGCCTGTATAATTTAACATATGTGCTGTGCTTCTGCTCAGACATGTGGCCGCTTTCCCATTTTCCCTTTGGAGAGTTCTTTTGATTTTGCTTTTATTAAACAGCATTCCGGTAAGTGGCTAAATAAATAGCTTTAGCATTTAACATTTTTAGTTTGCCACGAACTTTTTTAAATTTAAAAAGGTTCTAATCCATGACGTATATATTCATGGTCTGTGCTTTAATGATACTAAAAATATATAGAGGAGTACTTTAATAATAGCTTACATAAAACTAAAGGGGGCTTAAAAATGTATTCCTACGATTTTTTTGAACACACACGCTTATTATTTTATGACCTTAGTAATATTATAACTTAGTAAATTTGAAGCTTTGTGTTTGTTAAGCATACAAAAAATAGTTTTCTTTTTTTTAATTTAAAACCTTCGAAATTTATGAAACCCACAAAACAGATATTTGTTATACACCGCTTCCTATTTTAAAATAAAAATATTTTAGGTCTCAAACATGTGAAAAACCCAGCACAAGGGGACTCAAACTTTTCAAAGGGCAGAGAAAATATGGAAATTGCTGTTAAAGCTTTAACAAGGACCTCTTTTCCCGCCTCTTCCACTTGTTCCCCGTTTGAGCAACTGTGAGCGTAACTGCAGCTGGAACGTAACTGTAACTACGACTGTAACGGCAACAGTAACTGAAACTGCACCTAAACAACAATCGTTATGCCCATGCAAAGTAGCCCAGAGCACCGCACAAACACATCGCCCCCTGACGCTGTGTGTGTGACTATCTATGTGTGTGTGTGTGTTTGCAGGGCATTGGCACAGCCAAAGGAACTTACGCTCCATTCAACCGCGAACCTCGGATGCCCTTGATTCTACTACTGGGAAATATGCAAATGGACAAATGGGACATCAAAAAAGTGTCATCTGTCAAGTAGAATTATTCTGGTTGCCATAGAAATCTCTAGAGATTTAAATTCTCCTAAAAGGTCTTTAAAAGTATGCTACACAATGCAAAATATTTAGGCTCACATTTGTTTGGTGGCGCTCAACTTCTTTAGATTCTAGCATAATTTGGTGAACATGATGTTATTTATATCTTTCTCTTTTGCAATGCCACATCAAAAGCAATTAGCTAACTTCGGTTTCCGCCAGTAAATAGTAAATAGCCAGCGGTTTTAGTGCTGACCAAGGACCGCACCTGATTGGTTCACCGGGTAAATTACACCGAACTGACACCACATTCATTAGCGTAAATCAGTAAGGTAAATGCATTTGGTATTCACTATGTTTGGATTGATATCCTTATTAAGTAATGGGTTGGACTTGAGTTTACATGTGATTGATTTGCTAAGGATTAACTCAAGTGGAGTCAATAAATGCAATTTAAAATAGTTAATATTGACCAATGCTACTTAAGGTTTGTTTAAGTCTAAATTAAAAGCTGTATTTTATATATTGAATATTGACATACTAAAAGCTTATATGTACAAAAACTTTTAAGTAAATCTGGTTTTACCATGGTACATTAATTTTAAATAGACTTAAAAGAGCAACAATTTTTCTAAGAGTCACATTTTGCTTATCATTTGCTCATAAAAGCTGAAAACACTTTTTAGAAATACTGGCACAATTATTTTTAACTCCTCCGCCTGTTTGCGTATATCTTCAGTTATTCGAGACGAGTTTATGGGTCATAGAGTATATAGTGCAGTTGTAACAGCAGCACAAACACAGCCAAAGTACACACACACACACACATACACACACGAAGGGAAAAGGAGACATGGGCACATGTGAAGTGTTTGCCTCACATTACATGGCTGCTAGTGCCTAATGATGTAGCAACAAATTTAATAAACATATTAAGTGTTGATGTTTTTGTAATCGCACAGGGCAACGCCAGATGTTACTCCACTTTCCTTCTCCCTTCCTCTTCAGTACCCCCTCCCTCTCCCTCTTTCTTTATTTTTGCAACACACCTACACTCACACACAAACAGAGAGAGAAGGAGAGAGGGAGTTCGCTACACGAATAGGCTGCTATGGCCTCCATTTTGCCGTTAGTCAAAAGCTGCTTATTTCCGTCCTGGTTCTGTTTCTGTTTCCGTTTCTGTTTCTGTTTCAGTTTCTGTTTCTGTATTTAAGCTCCTGTTTCTGCACTCGCCTCCTTGTCCCCGCAGTCGAGCAACTATTTGTCACATCAATTAAACGGAATAAACATTCAAATTAATTTAAATGCGAATATTAAATGGATTGCCATCTAATGAAGCGTTTTCAACTACACCTCAATTTGCTATGTTGCTCTCATTCTAATTAAAAGTGCCGTAATTTATGGCTTTAGTTGCCGAATTACAGCTTATGGCAATTTTTGGACAGATTTTAAATTGTCATAGCCGAATTTTGACAGTCTTGATTTCTGCACTGCGATCGAGTTTTATGGGCGTAGTTCCGCTTGTCTTGTGTCGATTTCAGTTTGGTCGCATGGCGAACTCACCAACCATAAACTTTGCTGCAAGAACCCTCGCCAAATACGCCCCCTTTCAGACACTTAAAAAAATATTAACATACAGAATAAAAGCAATTTGTGCAAAATTTAGAAGTTGGGGTTATACAAATTTTAAAGTTTAGGATAGCAGTTAATACATTTCCCATATCTCATAATTCGTAAAAAATCTGAATACATTTACTTGCATGCAAAAAGAATGGTAATTTCCAGGAATGCAACAAATATTTTTGTCGGTTTTTTATATCATCCGATCTCAATCTTTAAAACTAAACTTCATAATAAAAATAAAATCATTGTTTTTAGAAAATAATTTTCCTAACCAATTTAAAAATAGAAGTGCCCCGTAAATAAAATCATGAATTGTATATAACCCAAGATTAATATTTTGTTTATAATCCAGCTGCAAAATTAGCTTATAAAAATATTTTCCATATTTTTCTTTCTGTGTATATATCCCCAGCTAAGTCATTGGATCTCAGACTTCATCGCGTTGTTCATTTATATTCATATTTGCATATGTTTGAGTCGGTGCAGCTGTCAGCGGTTCTTGGTGTGAGAGTGTGTTTATAAAGTATATCTGCCACGCCTTCCACCCGAGACACGACACCCCCCCTCTCCCCTTTCCCCTCCTCCTTTACCACCCCTTCCAGTGTGCCTTGGGCTTTGGCTACCCGCTGCCGCCGTCCTGTATGTATTTTATTCGTCGACGCAGTTATTTGCTTTAATACACTCAATAGACTTAACATATTTTCCACGCCCGCACCGCCCACCGCCAACCACTCAACCGCCACCCATTCAACACCCAATCGCCACCCACTTGCCACCACTCGGTGTGTGTTTTGTAGTTTTCTGCAATAAATTTTGCATTTTGCTGGCACTGCCAGAGACACCCAGCCAGCCGGAGGAAAAGCTGAAATAAAATAAAAAATAAATAACATTTCATTGCAAAGGCGACTTGTGAATGAGCAGACACAGTGACAGGGTCTCGAATATTGCCGAAAATCATCGTGTATTACAAATATCACTCAAAGTGATTTACTTTATGGTCCACTTACAAAATATGCAAGCTAGAAAGAAACCAATTATTGATTTCATTAATATTTTACGATCTCTCATAGTTATTTTACTTATGTTTGAATTAATTAGAATATTTGGTAAACATTTTAAATATGCAGGAAAAAAACAAATAATTGATTTCACAAATATATAAATAAATATTTTAATTTGTTTAAAATCTTCAAATTAAAAAAAAAATGCATAAATATTTTTACCCTTTTTTTAAGTTTTTTTTTTTAATTTTTATATAATTTAACACTGTCATATAATAGAATAACAATGTCAGTTCACAATTAAAATATACATATTTCAAACATATTTCTTTTTACTTCGGTTTTTTAGATTGTTAAAAAAGGATTATCGAATAGACATATTTGAATGCCTCCCCAGTTAATTTATTAAACGGTCGATAAAAATGACATAACAAACCTATATTTAATTATCAGTTGATATTGCTGTAAATAATACACATGAATAGATAATGTCCATGATCATAGGATATTCATTTACTGCTAATTTGGTAGTTAAATTTTATTCAACCACTACGCAACTTCTGTGTTTTCGGTGCCAGTAATTTCAACTGTGACTGCGATTGTTATTTTGTCTGTGACTGTGCATATTTATAGTTTTGTATTGTCTGGTAGAGCCAACCCAGAAATGACTAAAACTGCCTTTTGAACGCCAGTTGAAAGGAATGTGGGTGGGCTGCTGTTAAAATGGAGGCTTTGAGCCGAGTTTTCCTTCGGCGGGCAAAGGAACTAAGGAACTACAGCTGCAGTCGAGCAAAAAGCGACTAAGTATATAATAATTTACAGCTTGCATTAAAATTTTCGTCTGCCAACTGGGCCCGAGTGAATCTCAACCTCCTCGCAGCTGCATTCGCAAAGTACATAATTTTGCTCATGATTTACTAATTGCTGGAAGCTGGAAGCTTTCGCTTGTTGCTCCCGACTCCGACTTTTACAATTTACAAATTTCTATTGAATAAATTAAATGCCGATGTTAGCGGGGGAACTTCCTCCTCACGGAAGTGCTCGCCTAAATAGAAATAGGCGAATACATAGAAATCGCGCTTTCCCTGGGACATTCAACCGGCTTTGAAGTCGAGGCAAATACGGGAATGTCAATTCA